GGATTAGAGCGTCTGCCAACTGACCAAAAACGCAAATATTCTCTATAATAATAATAATAATAATATGCCATTTAGCAGACGCTTTTATCCAAAGCGACTTACTTTCCCCACTCATAACGTACGTCTACGCTTGAGTGCGAAAGCTCATACACACGCATAATAATATGTCATTTAGCAGACGCTTCCATCCAAAGCGACTTACAGTCATGCGTGCATACATTTTTTTAAAATTATTTTTGATTTTTTTATTAGTGGTCCCGGGAATCGAACCCACTACCTTGGCGTTACAAGCGCCGTGCTCTACCAGCTGAGCTACAGAGGACCACATCGTTGGACTTATATAGGTACCTCTCAAATAATCGCTTTGTGGTGTTTTTAGCCAATTCTATTCTTAACCTGACTACCTCCTGTTGTAAAACTTCCCCCCTCTTTGTTCTTTGCTGGCCTCTTTACTCTGCCCCCCGTCTTCCCGCCCTTCCAACATTCCGGCTTGGCCGTCATATGGTGGGGGAAGTACGGGGATCACCCCTAATCTTCTTTTACACATGACAACGGTGTCATCTGGGCTTGCTCTACCAACTCTGGATATAACCTCTCTGCTCTTTGCTGTGGGGGGGTCCTGAAACTTCCTTTTTTCTGTATATCCCTTTCTCTCTCCTTCGCGCTTCAAAAAGCCATACCCTCGCTGTTTTTTCATCTAATTTTATATGCATCTGCCTACTAACTTTTTTACTTCGATGCCCAATAAATTCATACCTCTTCTCCCAAATGGATCCCTAAAACATATTTCTTTCATCTCCCGTTAATTATCGGACTTGTTTAGAAGATGTCTTTCCCATCGTGGAACAATAAGAAATCCCTCCCCCCCTTTTTGTTTTTTAAATAATTCCCTCCCGAATTATTTTCGTAGGAGCTAATCTCTTAGTGCCCCTCTTGCTTTTGTATGAACCCTTTAAAATTAAAAGAGTAAATTACCCAATTTTCCTCACGCGACTTTTTTTTTTTCCTCCACCCCTGAAATAATAACCACGTCTCCCGAGGGATTAAGTCTCACACACATACGACCTTATCATCCGTCAAAACTTGTTTGCACAGTTCTAACAAATGCCCAGTCGCATATATGAACTCCCGACATATCCCTCTCATACGATGATAATCATTTCCCTGTTTATACTGAACATTGCAATTCGTACAATGACAATATTAACTTAGTTTACATTTGTGATTGCAATTCACTACCATGTCATTTCGGACTAGTTTTTTTTTGTAATAGCTATTTACCTCTAGGATCAATTGCGGACCCTCCCTGTCGTAATAATTATTACCTTCTTTGGTAAATAAGTTCAACTCATTTTACCAAAATCCATGAATAAAAATTACTGACCTTTTCCTTGCAGTCTGGATTAAAATGCTTTTTCAAACTTGTTAACGTCTTTATCGTTCATAAAGAGTAATCACCGGCCTGTTTTTTAACCTTAACGTGGAAGGCCAGGACTGTAACGGATGCTATCACCCGCCCGTGCACGGTTTCGGTGTCTTCTAGAACGATAAAGATGTATTAAGCTCCGCTCAGAAGGACCAATCTGTCACGTGAATTTCTATCTCTAATTCACCCTAAGCTTGAATCATTACCAGAGGTTGTAAGGCTCTAGTTTTAATCATCAATGATTCAAGGTCCACAACTCACAAGTCTTATCTGTATTTTTATCCATGGTGAGAGCTCTGAGGCCAAAACACAAATCTCCTTTCTTTATACTTCTTGACAACAAAGACACTATACTCCTCCCACCTTTCTTAAACAGTTCCCGCCTCCCCCCTTGAATGGTTAGTAACGCCCCTTCTGTTAGTGGGTTGACACATGATAATTCTAACATTTATACTGTGTTTGGGGTGTAATTCTTTAGTCATTATTCTTAGTACACAAATTCATCTATCAGTATAGTTCTTTACTAAGGCTTACCTGAATGGTCCTTAGTATAGTCTCTATTACTGAATGGTCTTAGTATAGTCTCTATTACTGAATGGTCTTAGTATTCTATTACTGAATGGTCTTATATCTATTACTGAATGGTCTTAGTATAGTCTCTATTACTGAATGGTCTTAGTATAGTCTCTATTACTGAATGGTCTTAGTATAGTCTCTATTACTGATGGTCTTAGTATAGTCTCTATTACTGAATGGTCTTAGTATAGTCTCTATTACTGAATGGTCTTAGTATAGTCTCTATTACTGAATGGTCTTAGTATAGTCTCTATTACTGAATGGTCTTAGTATAGTCTCTATTACTGAATGGTCTTAGTATAGTCTCTATTACTGAATGGTCTTAGTATAGTCTCTATTACTGAATGGTCTTAGTATAGTCTCTATTACTGAATGGTCTTAGTATAGTCTCTATTACTGAATGGTATTAGTATAGTCTCTATTACTGAATGGTCTTAGTATCTATTACTGAATGGTCTTAGTATAGTCTCTATTACTGAATGGTCTTAGTATAGTCTCTATTACTGAATGGTATTAGTATAGTCTCTATTACTGAATGGTCTTAGTATAGTCTCTATTACTGAATGGTCTTAGTATAGTCTCTATTACTGAATGGTCTTAGTATAGTCTCTATTACTGAATGGTCTTAGTATAGTCTCTATTACTGAATGGTCTTAGTATAGTCTCTATTACTGAATGGTCTTAGTATAGTCTCTATTACTGAATGGTCTTAGTATAGTCTCTATTACTGAATGGTCTTAGTATAGTCTCTATTACTGAATGGTGTTAGTATAGTCTCTATTACTGAATGGTGTTAGTATAGTCTCTATTACTGAATGGTCTTAGTATAGTATCTATTACTGAATGGTCTTAGTATAGTCTCTATTACTGAATGGTGTTAGTATAGTCTCTATTACTGAATGGTCTTAGTATAGTCTCTATTACTGAATGGTCTTAGTATAGTCTCTATTACTGAATGGTCTTAGTATAGTCCTCTATTACTGAATGGTCTTAGTATAGTCTCTATTACTGAATGGTCTTAGTATAGTTCTCTATTACTGAATGGTGTTAGTATAGTCTCTATTACTGAATGGTCTTAGTATAGTCTCTATTACTGAATGGTCTTAGTATAGTCTCTATTACTGAATGGTCTTAGTATAGTCTCTATTACTGAATGGTCTTAGTATAGTCTCTATTACTGAATGGTCTTAGTATAGTCTCTATTACTGAATGGTCTTAGTATAGTCTCTATTACTGAATGGTGTTAGTATAGTCTCTATTACTGAATGGTGTTAGTATAGTCTCTATTACTGAATGGGTCTTAGTATAGTCTCTATTACTGAATGGTATTAGTATAGTCTCTATTACTGAATGGTCTTAGTCTCTATTACTGAATGGTCTTAGTATCTATTACTGAATGGTCTTAGTATAGTCTCTATTACTGAATGGTCTTAGTATCTATTACTGAATGGTATTAGTATAGTCTCTATTACTGAATGGTCTTAGTATCTATTACTGAATGGTCTTAGTATAGTCTCTATTACTGAATGGTCTTAGTATAGTCTCTATTACTGAATGGTCTTAGTATAGTCTCTATTACTGAATGGTCTTAGTATAGTCTCTATTACTGAATGGTCTTAGTATAGTCTCTATTACTGAATGGTCTTAGTATAGTCTCTATTACTGAATGGTCTTAGTATAGTCTCTATTACTGAATGGTCTTAGTATAGTCTCTATTACTGAATGGTCTTAGTATAGTCTCTATTACTGAATGGTCTTAGTATAGTCTCTATTACTGAATGGTGTTAGTATAGTCTCTATTACTGAATGGTATTAGTATAGTCCTCTATTACTGAATGGTCTTAGTATAGTCTCTATTACTGAATGGTCTTAGTATAGTCTCTATTACTGAATGGTCTTAGTATAGTCTCTATTACTGAATGGTATTAGTATAGTCTCTATTACTGAATGGTCTTAGTATAGTCTCTATTACTGAATGGTCTTAGTATAGTCTCTATTACTGAATGGTCTTAGTATAGTCTCTATTACTGAATGGTCTTAGTATAGTCTCTATTACTGAATGGTCTTAGTATAGTCTCTATTACTGAATGGTCTTAGTATAGTCTCTATTACTGAATGGTCTTAGTATAGTCCTATTACTGAATGGTCTTAGTATAGTCTCTATTACTGAATGGTCTTAGTATAGTCTCTATTACTGAATGGTGTTAGTATAGTCTCTATTACTGAATGGTCTTAGTATAGTCTCTATTACTGAATGGTCTTAGTATAGTTATCTATTACTGAATGGTCTTAGTATAGTCTCTATTACTGAATGGTGTTAGTATAGTCTCTATTACTGAATGGTCTTAGTATAGTCTCTATTACTGAATGGTCTTAGTATAGTCTCTATTACTGAATGGTCTTAGTATAGTCTCTATTACTGAATGGTCTTAGTATAGTCTCTATTACTGAATGGTCTTAGTATAGTCTCTATTACTGAATGGTCTTAGTATAGTCTCTATTACTGAATGGTCTTAGTATAGTCTCTATTACTGAATGGTCTTAGTATAGTCTCTATTACTGAATGGTCTTAGTATAGTCTCTATTACTGAATGGTCTTAGTATAGTCTCTATTACTGAATGGTCTTAGTATAGTCTCTATTACTGAATGGTGTTAGTATAGTCTCTATTACTGAATGGTGTTAGTATAGTCTCTATTACTGAATGGTCTTAGTATAGTCTCTATTACTGAATGGTATTAGTATAGTCTCTATTACTGAATGGTCTTAGTCTCTATTACTGAATGGTCTTAGTATCTATTACTGAATGGTCTTAGTATAGTCTCTATTACTGAATGGTCTTAGTATCTATTACTGAATGGTATTAGTATAGTCTCTATTACTGAATGGTCTTAGTATCTATTACTGAATGGTCTTAGTATAGTCTCTATTACTGAATGGTCTTAGTATAGTCTCCTTATAGATAGTAGTGGACAATACAACAACAAAGTATCACTCACAATGAAACAGCCGATGACATCATTCTCTCCAAACTTCTCTCCGTAGTCTTCAAACTTACAGTCAGAGGATTTCTTTCCTGTTCCTCCGTACCCAAACGAAAACGCTTCCTCACCTGGAATATACCAGAGCTACATGTCAAACATTGTGTGTGTCCGTCTGTCCGCATGTGTGTGTGTGTGGTGTGTGTGTGTGTGTGTGTGTGGTGGGAGTGCGTGCCTGTATGTGTGTGTGTGTGTGTGTGTGTGTGTGTGTGCCTGTATGTGTGTGTGATGTCCTTACCCAGTTGTGTGTGATGTCCTTACCCAGTTGTGTGTGATGTCCTTACCCAGTTGTGTGTGATGTCCTTACCCAGTTGTGTGTGATGTCCTTACCCAGTTGTGTGTGATGTCCTTACCCAGTTGTGCGTGATGTCCTTACCCAGTTGTGTGCTGCAGGAGTCCAGGGACCATCCTATCCGGACCACATGGGGATCAGGCTCAGAGGAGGGGAGGTGCTTCACAGCTATCTCCTCAAAGATCTACAGCAGAGAGACAGACAGGTCAGTAGAGAGAGACAGACAGGTCAGTAGGAGAGACAGACAGGTTAGTAGAGAGAGACACACAGGTCAGTAGGAGAGACAGACAGGTCAGTAGAGAGAGACAGACAGGTTAGTAGAGAGAGACAGACAGGTTAGTAGAGAGAGACAGACAGGTCAGTAGGAGAGACAGACAGGTTAGTAGAGAGAGACAGACAGGTTAGTAGGAGAGACAGACAGGTTAGTAGGAGAGACAGACAGGTTAGTAGGAGAGACAGACAGGTTAGTAGGAGAGACAGACAGGTCAGTAGAGAGAGACAGACAGGTTAGTAGAGAGAGACAGACAGGTTAGTAGGAGAGACAGACAGGTTAGTAGAGAGAGACAGACAGGTCAGTAGAGAGAGACAGACAGGTTAGTAGAGAGAGACAGACAGGTTAGTAGAGAGAGACAGACAGGTTAGTAGAGAGAGACAGACAGCTTAGTAGGAGAGACAGACAGGTTAGTAGAGAGAGACAGACAGGTTAGTAGAGAGAGACAGACAGGTTAGTAGGAGAGACAGACAGGTCAGTAGAGAGAGACAGACAGGTTAGTAGAGAGAGACAGACAGGTTAGTAGAGAGAGACAGACAGGTTAGTAGAGAGAGACAGACAGGTCAGTAGGAGAGACAGACAGGTTAGTAGAGAGAGACAGACAGGTTAGTAGGAGAGACAGACAGGTCAGTAGGAGAGACAGACAGGTTAGTAGAGAGAGACAGACAGCTTAGTAGAGAGAGACAGACAGGTTAGTAGGAGAGACAGACAGGTTAGTAGAGAGAGACAGACAGGTTAGTAGAGAGAGACAGACAGGTCAGTAGAGAGAGACAGACAGGTTAGTAGAGAGAGACAGACAGGTTAGTAGAGAGAGACAGACAGGTTAGTAGAGAGAGACATACAGGTTAGTAGGAGAGACAGACAGGTTAGTAGGAGAGACAGACAGGTTAGTAGAGAGAGACAGACAGGTCAGTAGGAGAGACAGACAGGTCAGTAGAGAGAGACAGACAGGTTAGTAGAGAGAGACAGACAGGTTAGTAGAGAGAGACAGACAGGTCAGTAGGAGAGACAGACAGGTCAGTAGAGAGAGACAGACAGGTCAGTAGAGAGAGACAGACAGGTTAGTAGAGAGAGACAGACAGGTCAGTAGGAGAGACAGACAGGTTAGTAGGAGAGACAGGCAGGTTAGTAGGAGAGACAGACAGGTTAGTAGAGAGAGACAGACAGGTTAGTAGAGAGAGACAGACAGGTTAGTAGAGAGAGACAGACAGGTTAGTAGAGAGAGACAGACAGCTTAGTAGAGAGAGACAGACAGGTTAGTAGAGAGAGACAGACAGGTTAGTAGAGAGAGACAGACAGGTTAGTAGAGAGAGACAGACAGGTTAGTAGAGAGAGACAGACAGGTTAGTAGAGAGAGACAGACAGCTTAGTAGGAGAGACAGACAGGTTAGTAGAGAGAGACAGACAGGTTAGTAGAGAGAGACAGACAGGTTAGTAGGAGAGACAGACAGGTCAGTAGAGAGAGACAGACAGGTTAGTAGAGAGAGACAGACAGGTTAGTAGAGAGAGACAGACAGGTTAGTAGAGAGAGAAAGACAGGTCAGTAGAGAGAGACAGACAGGTCAGTAGGAGAGACAGACAGGTTAGTAGAGAGAGACAGACAGGTTAGTAGAGAGAGACAGACAGGTTAGTAGAGAGAGACATACAGGTTAGTAGGAGAGACAGACAGGTTAGTAGGAGAGACAGACAGGTTAGTAGAGAGAGACAGACAGGTCAGTAGGAGAGACAGACAGGTCAGTAGAGAGAGACAGACAGGTTAGTAGAGAGAGACAGACAGGTTAGTAGAGAGAGACAGACAGGTCAGTAGGAGAGACAGACAGGTCAGTAGAGAGAGACAGACAGGTCAGTAGAGAGAGACAGACAGGTTAGTAGAGAGAGACAGACAGGTTAGTAGAGAGAGACAGACAGGTTAGTAGAGAGAGACAGACAGGTCAGTAGGAGAGACAGACAGGTTAGTAGGAGAGACAGACAGGTTAGTAGAGAGAGACAGACCGGTCAGTAGGAGAGACAGACAGGTTAGTAGAGAGAGACAGACAGGTTAGTAGAGAGAGACAGACATGTCAGTAGGAGAGACAGACAGGTTAGTAGAGAGAGACAGACAGGTCAGTAGGAGAGACAGACAGGTTAGTAGAGAGAGACATACAGGTTAGTAGAGAGAGACATACAGGTTAGTAGGAGAGACAGACAGGTCAGTAGGAGAGACAGACAGGTTAGTAGAGAGAGACAGACAGGTTAGTAGGAGAGACAGACAGGTCAGTAGGAGAGACAGACAGGTCAGTAGGAGAGACAGACAGGTTAGTAGAGAGAGACATACAGGTTAGTAGAGAGAGACATACAGGTCAGTAGGAGAGACAGACAGGTTAGTAGAGAGAGACAGACAGGTTAGTAGGAGAGACAGACAGGTCAGTAGGAGAGACAGACAGGTCAGTAGGAGAGACAGACAGGTTAGTAGAGAGAGACATACAGGTTAGTAGAGAGAGACAGACAGGTTAGTAGGAGAGACAGACAGGTCAGTAGGAGAGACAGACAGGTCAGTAGGAGAGACAGACAGGTTAGTAGAGAGAGACATACAGGTTAGTAGAGAGAGACATACAGGTCAGTAGGAGAGACAGACAGGTTAGTAGAGAGAGACAGACAGGTTAGTAGGAGAGACAGACAGGTCAGTAGGAGAGACAGACAGGTCAGTAGGAGAGACAGACAGGTTAGTAGAGAGAGACAGACAGGTTAGTAGAGAGAGACAGACAGGTTAGTAGAGAGAGACATACAGGTCAGTAGGAGAGACAGACAGGTTAGTAGAGAGAGACAGACAGGTCAGTAGGAGAGACAGACAGGTTAGTAGGAGAGACAGACAGGTTAGTAGAGAGAGACATACAGGTTAGTAGAGAGAGACATACAGGTCAGTAGGAGAGACAGACAGGTTAGTAGAGAGAGACAGACAGGTCAGTAGGAGAGACAGACAGGTTAGTAGGAGAGACAGACAGGTTAGTAGAGAGAGACAGACAGGTCAGTAGGAGAGACAGACAGGTCAGCACTGAGTGTGCATCCCAAATAGCACCCTATTCCCACCCTATTCCCTATTTAGAGCACTTCTTTTGACCAGGACCCATGTGACCTAGTAAGGGATTACGGTGCTATTTGGGACACACAAGGAGACTCCACTAGCCAAGGGTTTGACAAGTCACATGGCAGCTTATGGCGAAGTGAATTTCACATTTTCCCTAGTCAAATATATCCTGTTCATGTGTACATCCTGTTAATGTGTACATCCTGTTCATGTGTACATCCTGTTAATGTGTACATCCTGTTAATGTGTACATCCTGTTCATGTGTACATCCTGTTAATGTGTACATCCTGTTCATGTGTACATCCTGTTCATGTGTACATCCTGTTCATGTGTACATCCTGTTCATGTGTACATCCTGTTAATGTGTACATCCTGTTCATGTGTACATCCTGTTCTGAGAAGCAGATACTATTGTTCTGCTCTATGGTGTGATGGAATGTTTACTCATGGCTTACATAGTGATCACCCATTATCGTGACTTAAATCGTGATAAGTCATTATCGTTACGTACATAGTGATAAGTCATTATTGTTACTTACATAGTGATCGGTCATTATCGTTACTTAAATAGTGATCAGTCATTATCGTGGCTTACACAGTGATAAGTCATTATCGTGGCTTACATAGTGATCAGTCATTGTCGTTACTTGCATAGTGATCAGTTATTATCGTGATTTACACAGTGATAAGTCATTATCGTGGCTTACATAGTGATCTGTCACTATCATGCCTTACATTGTGATCAGTTATTATTGTGACTTGCATAGTGATCAGTCATTATTGTGCCTTAAATAGTGATCAGTCATTATCTTTACTTACATAGCGATCAGTAATTTACTAAAGGGATCACAGCTGATACATCACGATCCACGTCAAAAGTAGTGCACTATATAGGGAATAGGGTGTCATTTGGGATTCAACCTATGTTTTTGTTTCTCTCTCCGTTACCTTCATCTCGTAGCAGACTTTTCCTTTGCTGACTCCGTAGGATGCTCTAGCTCCGGCCCAGAGGTAGGCAAAGCCCTCGAGGGTCAGAGGATAGCCACTGTAGCCGTCACGAGACACCTTGAAGTGCAGGTCACAGTTATCTGTGGAACATGAGGAAGATAACATCTCATTACAGAATCATGAGCATTAATATGGAGTTAATGGAAGCAAGTCTCCTTTGCTGCTATAACAGCCTCCACTCTTCTGGGAAGGCTTTCCACTAGATGTTGGAACATCGCTGCAGGGACTTGCTTCCATTCAGCCACAAAAGCATTAGTGAGGTCGGACACTGATGTTGGTTAATTAGGCCTGGCTCGCAGTCGGCGTTCGATGGTGTTGAGGTCAAAACTCTGTGCAGGCCAGTCAAGTTCTTCCACAAAGACTTAGATAAACCATTTCTGTATGGACCTTGCTTTGTGCACGGGGGCACTGTCATGCTGAAACAGGAAAGGGCATTCCCCAAACTGTTGCCACAAAGTTGGAAGCACAGAATCGCCTAGAATGTCAGTGTAGCGGATGATTTGGTCAGAGTCAGGTGCAGGAGGGTAAATCACAGAATAAAAGGTTTATTCGGCAGATACAGCGGTATGCAGCAATGTGTAAAACACTACAGTGCGGTAATAACGGCACACTGGAGAAAAACAAAACACACGGGTGAATATCCTGGCGATACAATCCATGAAAACAATCACACACAAAGACATGGGAGGCAGAGGGAATAGTTATACAGGTACTGATGAGGGGATATGAACCAGGTGTGTGTAATAAACAACACAAAACAAATGGAATGATGAGATGAGGAGCGGCAGTGGCTAGAAGGCCGGTGACGACGAACGCCGAAGCCTGCCCGAACAAGGAGAGGCGGCAGCTTCGGAGGAAGTCGTGACAGTCATTGTATGCTGTAGCGTTAAGATTTCCATTCACTGGAACTAAGGGGCCTAGCCCGAACCATGAAAAACAGCCCCAGACCATTATTCAATTACAGTCAGCACTATGCATTGGGGCAGGTAGCTTTCTCCTGGCATCCGCCAAACCCAGATTAGTCCGTCGGACTGCCAGATGGTGAAGCGTGATTCATCACTCCAGAGAACGTTTCCACTGCTTCAGAGTCCAATGGCGACGAGCTTTACACCACTCCAGCCGACGCTTGGCATTGCGCATGGTGATCTTAGGCTTGTGTGCGGCTGCTCGGCCATGGAAACACATTTCATGAAGCTCCCGACGAACAGTTCTTGTGCTGATGTTGTTTCAAGAGGCAGTTTGGAACTCGGTACTGAGTGTTGCAACAGAGGACAGACGATTTTTACGTAATTTAGCACTCGGCGGTCCCGTTCTGTGAGCTTGTGTGGCCTACCACTTTGTGGTTGAGCCGTTGTTGCTCCTAGACTTTTCTACTTCAAAATGACTTGTTGGAAAGGTGGCATCCTATGTCGGTGCCACGTTGAAAGTCACTGAGCTCTTCAGTAAGGCCATTCTACTGCCAATGTTTGTCTGTGGAGATTGCATGACTATGTGCTCAATTTTATACACCCGTTAGCAACGGGTGTGTCTGAAATAGCCGAATACACTAATTTGAAGGGGTGTCCACATACCTTTGTGTATATATAGTGTTATAAACATCAAAATGTCAAGTAAATTAAGGCAAGGGAAACCATTAAACCATGACATGAAAAGGCACTGCAATGAGGAGAGGTTAATGCAATCATGCAGCTCAATTTATGCCCAATTACTTTGTTACTACGTTCACAATCATGAATGACCTGTGTGAATACCTAGCAGCAATGAGAGCTCTCAGATGTTTCTCACTAATGACCTGTGTGAATACCTAGCAGCAATGAGAGCTCTCAGATGTTACTCACTAATGACCTGTGTGAATACCTAGCAGCAATGAGAGCTGTCAGATGTTACTCACTAATGACCTGTGTGAATACCTAGCAGCAATGAGAGCTGTCAGATGTTTCTCACTAATGACCTGTGTGAATACCTAGCAGCAATGAGAGCTGTCAGATGTTTCTCACTAATGACCTGTGTGAATACCTAGCAGCAATGAGAGCTGTCAGATGTTTCTCACTAATGACCTGTGTGAATACCTAGCAGCAATGAGAGCTGTCAGATGTTACTCACTAATGACCTGTGTGAATACCTAGCAGCAATGAGAGCTCTCAGATGTTTCTCACTAATGACCTGTGTGAATACCTAGCAGCAATGAGAGCTCTCAGATGTTTCTCACTAATGACCTGTGTGAATACCTAGCAGCAATGAGAGCTCTCAGATGTTTCTCACTAATGACCTGTGTGAATACCTAGCAGCAATGAGAGCTCTCAGATGTTACTCACATGTGTCCAGAGCCACCAGAGTGTCATCAAAGTCCTCCTCCTCCTCTTCAGCAGGGGGCTGGGGCGACCGGGACCTGCACAAGACTGACAGGTTAGTCCTCCAATCACAGCACTGAAGACGGACAGGTTAGTCCTCCAATCATAGCAATGGACTGAAGATTGACAGGTTAGTCCTCCAATCACAGCACGGGACCAAGCTAACTGTATAGATCTCTTTGCGGTCCTGTGCTTTAGTTAGGGACATAACTAACCTCTACCAGTCAAACAAACTACCAAGAACAGGGACGTGTTCAGAAGGCATGAAATGGAGAACGTTTTGATACCGGAAACATTCTTATTGCAGCAAAAGGTAGTACCTACTACCTCCTCTGTTTCAAAAGGTTTCATCCCGTTTAGTATCTACTGAACAGGACCCAGGTGAGATAGAGACCAAGGCAGAGCTGGAGTAGTAGTTGTAGAAGTATTCATATTTGTAGTAGAATTAGTAGTAGTATTAGTAGTAGTAGCATCAGTAGTATTAGTAGTAGTATTAGTAGTAGTAGCATCAGTAGTATTAGTAGTAGTAGTAGTAGTAGTAGTAGTAGTAGCAGCAGTAGTAGTAGTAGTAGTAGTAGTAGTAGTAGTAGTAGTAGTAGTAGTAGTAGTAGTAGTAGTAGTAGTAGTAGTAGTAGCAGCAGTAGTAGTAGTAGTAGTAGTAGTAGTAGTAGCATCAGTCGTAGTAGTAGTAGTAGTAGTAGTAGTAGTAGTAGTAGTAGTAGTAATAGTAATAGTAGAGTGTTTTCCACAAGTACATAGAGTAGCCAGCCAAATAGAAAAAGTGGCCAGCCTGGCGCCCCCGGGCGTTGTAATCTTTTGCCGAATGCTGAGAGTTTGGCTGAGAGTTTCCTTTTACGAGGGTGGAGACTTCGCAAACCGGAAATTCCAATTTCTAACACGTGGACCCAGAACTTAATCACGCAGCTGACCAAATTACACAACATTTTAGTTCTGAGTTAACTGAGATTAGACTGCTCTAAGGAGTGATTGCAATCCACACTTTGGTTTTGGTAGAAAAGTAACTGCCAATCAACGCTTATATTAGCTACTAGGACTAAAAACTTGATTTTACTCAGCCGGGGGTGGCGTCAAGAAATTTTGCAGAATTAGCTCTATTTTGGTGGCCTCTGGTACATTCTAATGTCTTGATTCCATCTGAAATACACAGCCAAATGATTGAATACTTTAACGACTTTACCTCCCAGATTGGAGAAATTAGTTGTGGTTTTGTGTAGAAAGACTTTACAATTTAAAATGACTGAAAACGTCTGAATTCAGTGTGTTGTTAGTTGTTCTGGATGTCGTCTATGTCTAGGCCTATACGATCAGGACTATATGATCTAAGTAAGAGAACATTAAACCTTTTTAACATTTAACCTGTCTTCTCTTGAGATTAAAGTCATATTTACAGTTTTACTGCAAGATGAACTGCAACAATGTTCTTCAAAATTATTTATTTTATTACAACAGAATAATTCAGTAAATACCCACATTATCTTGAAAAATAAATTAAAGGTTAAAATGAAAAAAATAGTTTTTCCAGGTTTCCGTTTACCCATTCTTTTCAGGTTTTCGCTCTCAAAATCACACTTTTTTAAATAGAAAAACAACAAAATTGCTTAAACCACATCAGGAGACCACTTTTGAGGTCTGGGAAAAATCCGAGAAATTTAGATTTTTGGTGTATTTACTCTTTAATTCAAGTGTGCACCTAGCAAGAGGCAGTTGTTTAGCAGTATTTGTATGTGATGGAAGAGTTTGCAAAACAAATACCCACTGGATTTATGAAAATAATGATGATATCATTCTACCAGGTAAGCATAGGCTACTTTGTAGTTAACATTTTAATTGAGAAGGTTTTTGGGAAAGCCTTTCCACCTACCAGAAGACTGTTTTCATTAGCATCATCGCTAACGGCTACACAAAGTGGTAGACGAGTGCACTGCACACACACAGACGGGCGTTCTCATTGCCTCTTCAGAAAGTCACAGGAAATACGAATCACACGTCTTATGATAAACGTATTCATTAATTTTCAATATATTCAGTTGATTCCCTGCTAAGGTCAATAAAAATATATATATATTGTTGAATTCCGTTTTAATGCCTGGATTCCTTGAGTGCCCTAATGATCATATCTGGACCAGAATGAGGCTCTCCACTACCTGTTGTTCCTGCAGTGATGATTCACCATCTTCATCGAATGTTTTCATAATGTATCTGCAGGTGATCTCCAAAAAGACTAGGCCTATCAGTATCCAATGCAAATTAGGGAACCAAATCAACGGCTCTCTCAGCGATGCGATTCGGTAGGCTACACTGACTGACGAGACGAGAGTCACTCACTTTATCGTCACTGTCTGGCAAGCCCCGACATCCTAGGAAATCCTCTGGTTTACTTGTCCCGATGCGATGCCATGGACATATAACTACATTGTATGATCTATGAATGGCAAAGGGATATAGCAGATACATTTACATTTTAGTCATTTAGCAGACGCTCTTATCCAGAGCGACTTACAGTTAGATAGACTTTATTCAGTCAGTTCGACACCTTTTCTAAACTAGTCAACGCTTGCTGTTCGGTCATCAATCAAAGCCCAGTAAATAGTCTGCTATACACCCTGACTCCATGGCTGGCTATGTGAAACACGCAAAATAAAATAAATGAACGTGTCAGAAAACAATAATTAGGGTAAGAGGATTGACTCAACGTTACCACTTACATTAAATGGGAAGTGCAAATTCACGAGTATCATGCTCTCTCTCGCCGTGTAAAGACATTTGACTGCAACCAACCACAGCGCACACAAATTGTACTGGGAGGCGGGACAAACAGCAGACTGCGTTACCCTGTCATCGCTCGCTTTGTGCCTGACAGGCGCCTATCCTATCAATAGATTGCTAGAAGATGCATATTTTTCATTCTAGCAGGAGAGGGCTCGACGGACTAGCGAATTGAAACTTTTAAATAAAAAGTAGCTTAGTTAATATGAAGTGGAAAAAGTAACCGGCTGAAATTAGTCTAACTGGCTGATTAGCCGATGGCCGGCGCTAATGGGAAAAACTGGTAGTAGCAGTAGTAGTAGTAGTAGTACCAGCAGTAGTACCAGCAGTAGCAAAAGTAGTAGTAGTAGTAGTATATAGTAGTAGTAGTAGTAGGAGCAGTTAAGTAGAGTAGTAGTAGTAGTTTATCAGTAGTAGTTTTAGTAGTAGTAGCAGTAGTAAGTAGTAGAGTAGTAAGCAGTAGGCATTAGTAGTGTAGTAGTAGTAGTTCATAGTAGTAGTAGTAGTAGTATCAGTAGTTAGTAGTAGTAGTAGTAGTAGGGTATAGTAGTAGTGTAGTAGTAGTAGTAGTAGTAGTAAGGTACCAGCAGTACATATATAGTAGTATATAGTAGTAGTATATAGCAGTAGTATAGTATAGTATATATAGTAGTAAGTAGTACAGTAGTAGAGAAAGTAGTAGGTAGTAGTAGTAGTATATAGTAGTAGTAGTAGTAGTATCAGTAGTAGTAGTAGTATATAGTAGTAGTAGTAGTAGTAGTAGTAGTACCAGCAGTAGCAAAAGTAGTAGTAGTAGTAGTAGTAGCAGTAGTGTGTAGGATGTAATAGTAGTAGTATATAGTAGAGTAGTAGTAGTATATAGTAGTAGTAGTATATAGTAGTAGTTAGTAGTAGTAGTAGCAGAGTAGTAGTAGTAGTAGTAAGTACAGCAGAGTAAGTAGTAGTAGTAGTAGTAGTAGTAGGTCAGTAGTAGTAGTAGAAATAGTAGTCGGGCAGTGGGAGTATAGTAGTAGTGTAGTATATTAGTAGTATGTAGTAGTGAGAGTAGGAAATAGTAGTAGATAGTGTAGAGTACAGTAGTAGCAGTAGTAAGTAAGTAGTAGTAGAGTAGTATAGTAGTACCAGCAGTAGAAGTAGTAGTAGTAGTAGTAGTAGTATATGTAGTAGTGGAGTAGTAGTAGTAGTAGTTCGTAGTAGAGTAGTAGAGCAACAAGTGTGGTAGTGAGTAGTAGTATATTAGTAGTAGTATAGTAGTGTACTAGTAGTACCAGCAGCAGTAGCAAAGGTAGTAGTAGTAGTAGTAGTATATAGAGTAGTGGTAGTAGTAGTAGTAGTAGTAGTAGGTAGTGTGTATAGTAGTGTAGCAGAGCAGTAGTGGTAGTAGTAGTAGTAGTAGTGAGTAGTAGTAGTAGAAGTAGTAGTAGTAGTAGAGAAACAGTAGTAGTAGTAGTATTAGTAGTAGTAGTAGTAGTAGAGTAGTGAGTAGTGTACCAGCAGTAGTAGAGTAGTAGTAGTAGCAGTAGTAGTTAGTTAGTAGTAGTTACGTAGTATGTTAGTAGTAGTAGTAGTAGTGGTAGTAGTAGTAAGTAGTAGTAGTAGTAGTAGTGTGTAGTGTAGTAGTAGTAGATAGTAGTAGCAGCAGAGTAGTGTAGTAGTAGTAGTAGTAGTAGTAGTGAGTAGTAGTAGTAGAGTAGTGGTAGTAGTAGAGTAGTAGTAGTAGTAGTTAGTCTTAGTAGTAGTAGTAGTAACAGTAGTGGAGTAGTAGTAGTAGTGTAGTAGTAGTAGTAGTAGGTAGTAGTAGTGGTGTAGTAGTAGTAGTAGTATAGTAGTAGTAGAGTAGTAGTGGTAGTAGTTAGTAGTAGTAGGTAGTAGTAGTAGTAGGGTAGCAGTAGTAGTAAATAGTAGTAGTTGTAGTTTAGTAGAGTAGTAGTAGTAGTAGCAGAAAGAGTAGTGGTAGTAGTAGTTAGTGTAGTAGTAGTAGTAGTATAGTAGTAGTAGTAGTAGTAGTAGTAGTAGTAGAGTTAGCAGCAGCTAGTGGTAAGTAGAGAGTAGTAGTAGTGTAGTAGTAGTATATAGTAGTAGTGAGTAGTAGTAGTACGTCAGTAGTAAAGTAGTAGTATTAGTAGTAGTAGTACAGTAAATATAGTAGTAGTAGTGGTAGTAGTAAGTAGTAGTAGCGCAGCATAGTAGTAGAAAATAGTAGTAGTAGTAGTTAGTAGTAGAGTATAAGTAGTAGTAGTGTAGTTATATGTGTGTAGCAGTTAGAAGTAGTAGTAGTAGTAGTATCAGCATAGTATAGTAGGGTGTAGTAGTAGTAAGTAGTAGTGAGTAGTGTCAGTAATAGTAGTAGTAGTATATAGTAGTCAGTAGTCAGTAGTGGTAGTAGTAGTATAGTAGAGAGCAGTAGTGGGAGTAGTAGTAGTAGTAGTAGCAAAGTTAGTAGTAGTAGTAGTTAGTAGTAGTAGTAGTACTAGTAGTACCAGCAGTAGCAAAAGTAGTAGTAGTAGTAGTAGTAGTAGTAGTAGTATATAGTAGTAGTGGTAGTAGTAGTAGTAGTATAGTGTTAGTAGTAGTAGTAGTAGAGCGTAGTATAGTGTAGTAGTAGCACAGTAAAGTAGAGTCAGTAGTAGTTAGTAGTAGTATAGTAGTGTATAGTATAGCAGTAGTGTATAGTATGTAGTAGTAGTAGTAGTTAGTAATAGTAGTAGTTAGTAGTAGTAGTAGTAGTCAGTAGCTAGCAAGTAGTGTAGTAGTAGTAGTAGTAGTAGTAGTAGTAGTAGTAGTAGTAGTACTAGTAGTATAGAGTAGTAGTAGTAAGTAGTAGTAGTAGTAGTAGTAGTAGTAAGTAATATAGTAGTAGGGTAGTAGTAGTAGTGTAGTAAGTTAGTGTAGTGGTAGGTATAGTAGTAGTAATAGTAGTCAGTAAGTAGTAGTAGTTAGTAGTAGTATAGTAGTAGATACTAGTAGTCAGAGTAAATAGTAGTAGTAGTAAGTCAGTCAGTAGTGTGTCGTGTAGTAGTAGTAGTCAGTGTAGTAGTATAGTAGTAGTAGTATAGTAGTACATAGTAGTCAGTAGTAGTTAGTAGTGTATGTGTAGTAGTAGTAGTATCGTTGTTATAGTGGTAGTAGTAGTAGTAGTAGTAGTAGTAGTAGTAGACATAGTAGTGGTAGTAAGTAGTAGTAGTAGTAGTAGTAGCAAAATAGTAGTAGTTAGTAGTAATAGTAGTAGTAGTAGTAGTGGTAGCGTAGTAGTAGTAGTAGAGTATGTAGTAGTAGTAGTAGTAGTAGTGTGTAGTTAGAGAGTAGTCAGTAGTAGCAGTAGTAGTAGTATAATAGTAGTTAGTAGTAATGTAGTTTAGAGTAGTATCGTAGTACCGCGTTAGCAAAGTTATAGTAGTAGGTCTAGTGAGAAGTATTAGTGGGTATTATATGAGTTAGTCGTATAGTGCATTCTAGAGTAGTAGTTGTATGTAGTAGTAGTAGTATTAGTCATTATAGTATGTAATTATGTGTAAAGTAGTATAATAGTGTAGATAGTAGTAGTAGTACTTAGTAGTAGAGTATAGAAGAAGTATAGTGAAAGTAGGTAGTAGGTAGAGTAGTAATAGTAAGTAGTAGTTGGTATATAGTGTCGTAGTATAGTATGAGCAATCTAGTAGTCATAGTTAGTAGTTAGTGTAATAGCAGAGTAGTCTAGTAGTAGTAGTAGTAGAAATAGTCGTAGAGAGTAGTAGGGTAGTAGTAGTAGTAGAACAGCTAATGTGTAGAGACAGTGATCTTCTTCCTCTGTGCCTCAGTGCTAGAGTTAGACATAGGGCCTAGTTAGGTCTCGTTGCGTCCAGGGTCTCCTCTGACGGCCCCAGAGGTTTGCAGGCCTCGAGAGTCAGCTATGCGTTGGGAAGTCTCTGCGGTTTCTATTTGTTAGTAGTCGTATTGTAGTCAGTTAACCCGTGCTTGTTTTCTCTCCGATTAGAACAGATAAAAGTGAGAAAGCAGTCAGACTAGAGAATATGGAAGGAAGTATGAAAAATGTAGTGTGTGAGTAGACAAGTGTATTATCCTTAGTGTTAGATGAGATTGATATTCAATAATTAGTGTTGAATAGTAGCTTGCATAATTGGGTTAATATAGATGGCTTTGTGTAAACAAGTTATTCTAGAGAGGATCTTACCTCGCTTCCTCTCAGGCTGCCCATGATGCTGATGCTCTGCCAGGGCTGGTTGGGTCTCGTGGTACTCAGGGGTCTCCTCTGCCTTGTGAACAGGGACAGGAAGAGGAAGAGGGACGTCTGCAGTGAAGTCAGGCATGCTGAAGCCCAGATCAGAATCAGACGACTCTTCTCTCTCCATCCCCCTGCTCTCCTCCTCGGGGGCCCCTCCTGCACCAAAGTCTAGAGAATCTATTTATACACGAGAAATCAGAAGACCATTTCAGCTTTCAACAAGTCACTTAAGTTCAAGGTAGCTAATATTGCAATGTAATATCATGCATATAATTGCATATTATCATGCACTCAACAATATACAGTACCCAGGGGTTAAAGCAAAAACAAAATTCCATGACTGAAACTTATGTCGATCTCAGATCGATTGTCTGGGGCCAAGTTAACCTCCCCTTTCATGTAACAAAGTCATGACCATCATGCTTTTAGGGAAAGAGGATCATTTTGTACATGTATTAAACTGTGAGTTTGACCAATTCCAGTCCCCTTGCTTAGGGGCTCCGGGGTGCTCCCCAGGATAATATTTATGTAGAAGGATTGAGAAGCTCAGTTCTGGTGACATTTTAAAAAGTCATTCTACTTCAAAATTAATGAAAATAAAATTATACTGACACCATCTAAAATATAATTTCCACATCCAGAAATGGGTCTCATAACATATTGTTAAAAATGATATTAACATTTTAACATATTGGACCATGCATATATATATTATCAGATGTGCTTTTAGCAATAAGCATTATCACCTGTAGCCCAACTGATGAATCATAGTGGTCTATAAAATGTACATGGGCTGAAGCATGGGGTTTGTCCATCTGCATTTACCCCATTGGACACAACATCCTGATAGTTATTATTATTTATAATTAATTGTATTACAAATATGAATATTTAAATAATTACTATTCTCTCCAAAAAATTGTTTTTGTTTTATTTCTATTACAAAGTATGTAATTGCCCTTTTAAGATGTAATTGCCCCTTTAAGATGACATTGCCCCTTTAAGATGTAATTGCCCCTTTAAGATGACATTGCCCCTTTAAGATGACATTGCCCCTTTAAGAGCTCTGTTGTACAGCTGCACCTAAACCATACTTGAAACTCTGGTTGTAAAACTGCATTTGTAAAATGATGCCACACAAGCAATTTAAGGAGTAGAGCAGTGTTTCCCAAACTCAGTCCTCAGGACCCCAAAACAGACAATAGTTGACCTATTTACCTAGTCGGCTGTTGCTGTGTGTTCTATGAGAGATGTATTTTGACAAGCAGTCAACAATTCTTAATGCAATCACAGGAAAACGCTTTTGAAAACAGTTTTGGCCTTAGTTTTTTTTTTAAGAGGGGGATCCCAATTTTACTGTGTTTATTTCTCTACTCCAGTGTTTTCCAAAATTGGTCCTTGGGACCCCAAGGGGTGCATGTTTTGGTTTTTCCCTGGTGCACGTTTTGGTTTTTGCCCTGGTGCACATTTTGTTTTTTGCCCTAGCACTATGCAAATAGTCAACTAATCATTAAGCTTTACTTATTTGGCAAAAACCAAAACGTGCACCAGGGCAAAAACCAAAACGTGCACCCCTTGGGGTCCCAAGGACCAATTTTGGAAAACACTGGAGTAGAGAAATAAACACAGTAAAATTGGGATCCCCCTCTTTAAAACAAAACTAAGGCCAAAACTGCTTTCAAAAGCGTTTTCCTGTGATTGCATTAAGAATTGTTAACTGCTTGTCAAAATACATCTCTCATAGAACACACAGCAACAGCCGACTAGGTAAATAGGTCAACTATTGTCTGTTTTGTTTTAATAACAACATGGCAAAAATAGTAGCACTGGAAAGTTCCATCCTGAGTGATAAAGTATAGGCTTTGAATTACTTTGCCAGCAGCCACAGTAGTCTACACACCGCTGTCTGAGTTCAGCGCTGCGGTGGTGCGCATTGAGAAAATAAAATATTTGAGAATACATTTATTTGGGAATATATTTCGTAGAACAGACATGCTTCTGTCCGTATTAGGCTATTTCATATCCAAATCAGCCCCCCCCCCCCCCCCCACATCCCCCCAAAGGGTTGTTATTGCGGATCTACACTGATCTCAAAAACGACCTCTCCAGAATCCATTTGACGGAAATCGGTCTCAGTGACAGAGAACTTTAACCTCCCTGAAACCTCATTATATTTCAAAGAAATGTTCACTGCTTGACATTTCATGTGCACAAATAGGAAAGCATGTCTAGGGCTACCTTCGTTCGGGAATCCTTCATCCCCCAACAACCCGGCTGAGAATCCCTCATCTCCCTGCTCCTCCTCCGGTGTTGCATGGTCCTGCTCCGGTGCCCCCCTCGCAGCTCCCCCGGCCTCCGCAGCCTCCAGAGCCGCCTTGAGCCGCTCCACCAGGTCAGCCTTCAGCCCCTTGGTGTCCAGGGCTCGCCGACGCAGCTCCTCTTTCAGCTCGTTCACTTTCAATTTCTTCACTTCAGCACTCCTCATGGTGCATGGAGATCTATGCAACTATTAAATATTTCTGCATAGATAACAAACAAAACTCAATGAATAAAAGTAATTGCACAGAATGCACTCTCGAGTTGAATTCGTAGCCTACTGTAAAAAGAAAGATACTGTAGCTACTATGTCCACTAAGAAACTGGCGCCAACTTGAATATTAGCACCAAGCACTGTTGTTAGCCAACTGGCTAGATGGATGATGCACTGTAAACATTGCTTATTAAATGATTATGATGGCCAATGATGCAAGCCAATGGGCAAATATAAACTGAAAAACTGCCTCGATAACATAATCCATTGATAGCAGTCATTTACCTTATCTGAGTAACATTAGGGTTGCTAAATGTAGCTACTGTACCGCTAGCTATAATGCTAACTCTAGCTGCATGATGGCATCTGTCACTGCGCCCGATGACAGTTTGCTCCGTGCAACGATGAAAACATCTACACTGCGCAGGCCAGTTCCGCTAATGTTACAAATACATCGTCGTGCAAACACAAATATTCACGTACAAATATGAAATATAGCGAAATAGAAAACATGAAAAACATAGTTGTGTACCTTTGGTTGATGCTCCGCTTCAAAACGGCCTGTAAATACTGACCGATACTTCCTCGAATGGGATTTATGATAAGCACAGGGTTGCCAGGTCAGGTTCAAATTTCTATAACAATGACAATACAAAAGCAAACCAAAAGCACACAAAACGGCCAAAAGCCCTGAAAACTAGCCCCCCAAAAAAATTCAGCAAGAGAAGAGTTGCCATATTTATACAATATATTTTTTTTTCCATAACGTTATCGAGGCAGTTAAATGTTTTACATTTACATTTACGTTATTTAGCAGACGCTCTTATCCAGAGCGATCCAGAGCGACTTACAAAATAAATAAATAAAATAAATTGGTCATTTAGCAGACGCTCTTATCCAGAGCGACTTACAGGAGCAATTAGGGTTAAGTGCCTTGCTCAAGGGCACATCGACAGATTTTTCACCTAGTCGGCTTGGGGATTAGAACCAGCGACCTTTCGGTTACTGGTACAACGCTCTTAACCACTAAGCTACCTGCCGCCCCAAATTACAAATTACAATTACAAATTACAATTACAAATTGGAGTTAAGAAGGAATATCGTAGTAACTTGTAACGACATTAGAAGCTAAATTAGTTTTTCCTCAAGATAATAATTATTGTGAGCTATGACATGACATAATAAAGGAATTTGAATAGGTCGCAAGAGAAAATATAATTTGCCCTTATTAAATTCGCCAGATAATTTTCCATCAATGGATGTCAATTTAACTCGTTTGACTGCTATGATTAAGCAAGGTATAGTTAAGAAGGTATAGTATATGGCCAATATAACATGGCTAATGGCTGTTCTTAAGCATGACGCAACATGGTGTGCCTGGATGCATTGGTTAGCTGTGGTATATTGGCCATATACCACAAACACCCGGGGTGCCTTATTGCTATTATAAACTGGTTACCAACCTAATTAGAACAGTAAAAGGTATGTTTTTGTTATACCCCTGGTATAAGGTCTGATATACCACGGCTTTTAGCCAATCAGCATTCAGGGCTCGAACCAGGTTTATAATTGTAAATAAATCCCCTTTGCGCATGTGTTTAACTTTATAGCGCATTCGGAAAGTATTCAGACCCCTTGACTTTATCCACATTTTGTTATGTTACAGCCTTATTCTAAAATTGATCCCCCCCAAAAAAATCCTCATCAATCTACACACAATACCCCATAATGACAAAGCAAAAACAGAATGATCAATTTACCTCTGTTGGCCATCAAGTAGCCTATTAATTGATATGCCATTGTAGGCTACCATTTGATACAATAAATATGTTGAAATTATATCTATGGAGTCATTGCAAATCAATGTGCCCCCTTGTGTAGCCTACCTGGAGCTGGCAAACCAATTGAATAAATAGGCTATAACTTCAGTTTATTGTTGTTGTTGCCTTGTGTTATTATGCAATTATTAATGGACATGTTTAGTTAATTGAATTGGAAGTTATCAAAGCTCTATCGCAATTGCCGACCAGTTAGAACGCATTAGATTGATGATAACAGTAGTCAGATTAGGGTACAGGAATAAATAAAATAAAAACATCTAAAAAATAAACACTGGCTGTTGTTGACAAGCATATTCAGTATTTAATACATATTAATATTTAATTCAGTGATTGAAATTATGACCCCATCTTCAGTAGCCTGTTCAAGCAGGCTATTGGGAAACACAATCACTCCTTACCTAGATATCGCCTCGCTATTCATGTTGAATAAATGTGTCTGTTTGAACTAAGCAAGCTGCTAAATCGTTCAGTTTACATCTTGCCTACATCTAGTCTAGGCTACTGTAGACTATCTGATATTATATGTAGGACTATCAGGGCCTATAGGCTACCTGCCTTTATCGAAGCAAACCATGGCAAAGTTGAATTACAATCATAAACCCAGATTTTAGTCAGTCGCCTATGCCTATTGACATGACAAGTCAATCTCTCAAATGGGCCATTTATAACGGTTTGTAGTCTTAACATCTGGCACATAATAACAGCACAATTGCCAGAAAATAGCCTAGCATTAGTTTTTTTTTATGTTCGTCCGAGTGTTTCTTGCTCCGAGATTTTGTGATCCTCTGTCCAACTTTCATCACTCAAACTCTCCTGTCGGATTTATCTACAGTGTATTCGGAAAGTGTTCAGACCCCTTGACTTTTTCCACATTTTGTTATGTTACAGCCTTATTCTAAAACTGATTAAACAAAAAAAAAATCTCATCAATCTACCCACAATACCCCATAACGGCAAAAACAAAAACAGATTTGTTTTTATATTTTGCTAATTTATAAAAAATAAATAAATAAAATCACATTTACATTAGTATTCAGACCCTTTACTCAGTACTTTGTTGAAGCACCTTTGGCAGCTTACAGCCTCGAGTCTTCTTGGGTATGACACTACAAGCTTGGCACACCTGTATTTGGGGAGTTTCTCCCATTCTTCTCTGCAGATCCTCTCAAGCTCTGTCCGGTTGGATGGGGAGCGTCGCTGCACAGCTATTTGACATGGTTTGGTTAGATAAAGGCAGGTAGCCTATAGCCCCTGATAGTCCTACATATAATTTCGGATAGTCTACAGTAGCCTAGACAAGATGTAGGCTAGATGTAAACTGAACGATTTAGCAGCTTGCTTAGTTCAAACAGACACATGTATTCAAAAATGTATTCAACATGAATAGTGAGGCGATATCTAGGTAAAGAGTGCTTGGGTTTCCCAATAGCCTGCTTGAATAGGCTACTGAGGATGGGGTCATCATTTCAATCACTGAATTAAATATTAATAATATGTATATATACTGAATATGCTTGTCAACAACAGCCAGTGTTTATTTTTTAGATGTTTTTATTTTATTTATTCCTGTACCCTAATCTGACTACTGTTATATCGTCAATCTAATGCGTTCTAACTGGTCGGCAATTGCTATAGAGCTTTGATAACTTCCAATTTAATTAACTAAACATGTCCATTAATAATTGCATACTAACATAAGGCAACAACAACAATAAACTGAAGTTATAGCCTATTTATTAAATTGGTTTGCCAGCTCCAGGTAAGCTACACAAGGGGGCACATTGATTTGCAATGACTCCAGTGTGTCACGGTTTCGGCCGAGGCTGCTCCTCCTCCTGGTTCGGGCAGGCTTCGGCGGTCGTCGTCCCCGGAGTACTAGCTGCCACCGATCTATGTTTCATGTTCGTTTGGTTTTGTCTGGATGTTGTACACCTGTGTCTTGTTAGTCCTCGTTTTGTGTGCTTGTCGTTGTGTGTGATTGCGCTTCTGTTTCGTGTTTGGAGCTACTTTTTCCCTCCAGTGTTTTGGAGAGGTTATTTTGCACATGTTTGTGCGCCGTTTGTTTTGTCGCCTGTGTGCGCCGTGTATTCGCCTTCGGGCTTATTGTGCTTCTGTCTTTGATATATATTGCACTAAAGCCTTTGGACTGAGCCTCTGCGTCCTGCGCATGATTCATACGCCACACCCACCTTCAGCACGCCTTGACACAGTGATATCATTTCAACATATTTATTGTGTCAAATGGTAGCCTACAATGGCATATCAATTAATAGGCTACTTGATGGCCAACAGAGGCAAATTGATCATTCTCCACATAATGTCAGTTTGATTGAGGACTTTTCCCCATAAAAAGAACCACGTGAGGGAGTTCCATAACTTCCATTTCAAATGTCCACTCGGGCAGCCCCCGATACCTAAGAACTGAGCATGCATAAAACACTTCGCTTGATACCGTTTTCTTTCAGCAAAGGCAACATTAGAATGCAGTTTAAACCACCTCCTAGTGAATTTATGTAATGGGCTCTAGTGCGCCCAAAGTCGTTTTCCAGTGCTTTGTCGCCATCATTTATTGACGTGCATCAGTTCTAGCTTAATTCATATGTTTTACGGGAAAAGGGTTAGAAATCGGTGTCTCCATAATGACAATCTAAGTAGCCTACCTACAACTGGTAAAAAGTTGTCACAACGTGCACGTTGCCAAAGCAAGTGAAATAGATAATAAACAAATGTGAAATAAACAATCAAAATTGAACAGTAAATATGACAGTCAGCAGCAGGTCACAGGGAAATATATATATATATATTTTTAAGAGAAATGCCATGGCGGGCGCGGTGCAATAGCCCCAAAACCCGCAACCAATACATTTTCAACCCGCGGCATCGTTTTCAAAGTAGCCCAATTTTGCGGGAAACCGAGAAAATGGCAACACTGCAGATAGCGGATATCATTAACACAAGTACTACTGCCACCTTCCGGTCAGTCGTTGAACAAACCATTAATTTTAGTCCTTCGATCATTCCTTCAATCTGAAGGGAGCAATATTGTACAGTTTTATAACGATTAACTGCAGAAAACACATGATAGATTGGAACATTTCACTTTTATTTTTACACATTACAGCTTTTGTTTTTTTGCACGTCACAGTACATCACCAAGCAGGAAAGGGATTCACACAGTGAGTCAAGAGAATAATACAGGGTTGTGACTAGATCAGCGTTCCCCAAGGTCCTCGGGACCCCAAGGGGTGCATGTTTTGGTTTTTGCCCTAACACTACAGTTGATTCAAATGATCAAAGCTTGATGATGAGTTGATTATTTGAATCAGCTGTGTAGTGCTAGGGCAAAATCCAAAACGTGCACCAAGTTTGGGAAACCCTGGACCAGATGGAGTACAGCTACAACCGAAAGTTACTTTTCATAGCAGGTTAGGAGAGCATTTTAGCTAACCCTTTTCATAACCGTAACCCCATTCTCTTAATCTGCTACGAAAAAGTCACTTCCGGTCGTAGCTGTGTTCTACCTGGCCAGAACCATAATAAACCACCTAGTCATAAAAAAAGCTCTGTTTTATTTGGAGAGAGGGCGGGGGGCAACATTTGATGTAGCTAAATGTACAAATTTGAAATATTCAAGTCAGCAAATATTATTCTCAGCAAATATTATTGTCAGTTAGTTTTCCTGTGTCATACTGTCATGTAAGGAGTTATAAGACATCCTCCCCACCTGGGTCCAAGCACCCATATGGCAGCCTTTCCCACCTCCAGTCCTAGAACAGAACACCCGATTCAACTTGTCAGCTAATCATCAAGACCTCAATGAGTTGAATCAGGTGAATTTGTCCGGGCCAACAACAAAAATGAGTGCTGTTGGGGGTACTGGAGGACTGGAGTTGGGCTGTTGGGGGGGGTACTGGAGGACTGGAGTTGGGGTGTTAAGGGGGGTACTGGAGACTGGAGTTGGGCTGTTGGGGGGGTACTGGAGGACTGGAGTTGGGCTGTTGGGGGGTACTGGAGGACTGGAGTTGGGCTGTTAGGGGGGGTCTGGAGGACTGGAGTTGGGCTGTTGGGGGGGTACTGAGGGACTGGAGTTGGGTTGTTGGGGGGTTACTGGAGTGACTGGAGTTGGGCTGTTGGGGGGGTACTGGAGGACTGGAGTTGGGCTGTTAGGGGGGTACTGGAGGACTGGAGTTGGGCTGTTGGGGGGGTACTGGAGGACTGGAGTTGGGCTGTTGGGGGGGTACTGGAGGACTGGAGTTGGGCTGTTGGGGGGGGTACTGGAGGACTGGAGTTGGGCTTTGGGGGGGTAACTGGAGGACTGGAGTTGGGCTGTTGGGGGGGGTACTGGAGGACTGGAGTTGGCTGTTGGGGGTACTGGAGGAGGGAAACGCTGTCACATGTCTCCTCCTAGTCTAAGCATAATAGATCCCCACGCAGTCACTCTATTACTATCACCAAGCCATATCAGTCACTCTATTACTATCACCAAGCCATATCAGTCACTCTATTACTATCACCAAGCCATATCAGTCACTCTATTACTATCACCAAGCCATATCAGTCACTCTATTACTATCACCAAGCCATATCAGTCACTCTATTACTATCACCAAGCCATATCAGTCACTCTATTACTATCACCAAGCCATATCAGTCACTCTATTACTATCACCAAGCCATATCAGTCACTCTATTACTATCACCAAGCCATATCAGTCACTCTATTACTATCACCAAGCCAAATCAATCAAAAATCACTGTTCAATATTATCATTTCAACCAGAGAACACTGAAATGTGATGACAATGTGATATGTTGAAACAGTTCCCCTTGTCCAGGCAGTGGAGTAGTGTAGTGTAGATGTATATATATTTTATACTGAACAAAAATATAAATGCAACAATTTCAAAGATTTTACTGAGTTACAGTTCATATAATGAAATCAGTCAATTGAAATAAATTCATTAGGCTCTAGTCTATGGATATCACATGACTGGGCAGGGGTGCAGCCAATCAGGGAGCCAAGCCCAGCCAATCAGAATGAGGTTTTCCCCACAAAAGGGCTTTATTACAGAAAGCAATACGCCTCAGCACCCTCCCCCCTCAGACCATCCCGCAGGTGAAGAAGCCGGATGTGGAGGTCTGCGGTTGTGAGGCCGGTTGGACGTGCTGCCAAATTCTCTAAAACAATGTTGGATGCAGCATAAGGTAGAGAAATTAACATTCAATTCTCCGGCAACAGCTCTGGTGGACATTCCTGCAGTCAGCATGCCAATTGCACGCTCCCTCAAAACTTCAGACATCTGTGGCATTGTGTTTGGTGACGGAACTACATATTTTAAATTGGCTTTTTATTGTCCCCAGCACGAGGTGCACCTGTGTAATGATCATGCCGTTTAATCAGCTTCTTGATATGTCACACCTGTCAGGTGGATGGATTATATTCGCAAAGGAGAAATGCTCACCAACAGGGATATAAACAAATGTGTGCACAACATTTGAGAGAAATAAGCTTTTTGTGAGTATGGAAAATTTAGGGCATTTTTTATTTCAGCTCATGAAACATGGGGTCAACACATTACATGTTGCGTTTATATTTTTGTTCAGTGTAAAATAAAGCATTGAACGATCTGTCAACAAAAAAAAAACACAAAAAAAACAGATGAACACACTATCTGACAGCGAGTCCTCTGGTTGCTCCAGCAGCAGCCCCTGGTCAGAGACTTAGTCCCACACACCCAGCTCTACAGGCAATCCTCAGCATCTTAGTCCCACACACCCAGCTCTACAGGCAATCCTCAGCATCTTAGTCCCACACACCCAGCTCTACAGGCAATCCTCAGCATCTTAGTCCCACACACCCTGCTCTACAGGCAATCCTCAGCATATGGCAGCAGACAGACAGTGCGGTATTGTGGTTGCACCTTCCTCCACTTACTGATGAAGGTATCTGCATAGAGGGTCGGTTTTATTCTAGCAGAACTCGGCTAGGCGAAAATAACATCTGCTCACATACTGCTTAATGACCTTCACTTGAAAAAAGTTGAACAAAAGCGGATCTACACTGTTGTTTGTCCCTCTTGAGCCACCGTACCAACAACATACCCAGTAACACTTCCTCAAAACAGGCCAAATTAACCTGAAATAAAATGCTGACGTTTTTGCAGAGGAAGTCTTAGGTCGCGCAATTTTCCAACTAACAGAGATGTTTAGTGCAGTGTTTCTCAATGAAAACGTGTGCATGAAAACTAGTCGTCTCTGGTTGAACACCTAACATGGCAGCTGAAGCTACATCCCCTACACCCTGGTCTCGACCAGGAGAAAAGAAAACTGTCAGGGAGGTTCTCTTCTGCACTATTTCAACCAATTCAGTAAATGTGGAGGCGGAGTTAAGATAGTGTTGCCTTGTTAATGTTCCCTTTCCATTGCCCCTGAAAAACCGGAATATTCCGGTTGTTGGGGACTCTGCAGAGGCTACTTGTTGAAATGGCACAAACAATTAATTGAAGAATCCCGTCAATAGTTCCTACTAGGACTAGTACTCTGGCTAGCGAACAGACTTGCCTCAAGAAAAAATTTACAGCAGAGAAGAAAAAAAACTGCCAAAGACCAAAGCAAACGTCACCATAATATATATATACACAAGCTGTTTCGACTGGGAAGCATACGGTAAGCTTCACAATCCTTTCATTAACAGACGAAACCTGGTGGACAGAGATCCGTGTCTGTTTTAACCAACAACTGACTCTCGTGTGGCATCCACAGCCTAGTCTGAAGGACTCTAAACGCTCTACGCAAACAGAGCGTCGTATACGGTCCGTTCTAAACTAAATTGCCGCACAAAAGTAGGCAGGGATCGACACAAACGGAACTCCATCGTGCCGTTTGGCATAGAGTGTGTAGAGCCCTTTAGTCTGGTCTGACAACACTACATGGGAGAGTGTTAAGTAGCCAGATATGAAAGGCTAGTTATGACATGACCGAGGACTTGGCTAAAGACACACAGATCTGGCGACCACCAGCCTAACTCAGAAATTACACAGGTATCACTTTTGGCTGGGATCCACGGAAGAGGAAGCCAGCGTGGGAGCGGGATCAGAAACAGGAAGTTGCGTGGTAGTAGGATCAGAAACAGGAAGTTGCGTGGTAGTAGGAGAAGACTGTGCTAGGGCTGGAGGAGGTAAGGAGAGTAGCAGCCGGTTGACCTCCCTCAGCCTGGCATCCAGTGTCTCTGTGTTCAGGGCCAGCTCTCCTATCTGTGTCTGCAGACTGCCAATGGTGTGACTCAGCTCTTCTTCCTTCCTCTTAGAGTTGGCCGCCTGTCTGCTGTACTCTAGGATCATACACCCTCCCCCGATGATGAAGATGATGGCCTCCCCCAGCAGCTCTGCACCCAGCTCTGCTGCCGCCTCCTCGTTCAGGGGCTTGATGGTGGCACCCCGGAAACCCATGATCCTCATCTTGGTCTTCATCTCCACCCAGTGGTAAACTAGAGCGGGAGGGAATCAGAGAGAGAGAACCGGTGCCATTACTACTTTATACAACAGGTGGTATGAACACAAGCCAGGTACAGGCCCAGGGACACACAGGCTGATATTTATCCAGAAAAACCTGAGAAAATTCAGAGAGATAGTAAATCCATGTTTTGTATTAAGAGAGACATGCCTCTTGCATGTGTGTAGATCTTTGTTTTGGTAGCACTGTGTGACACGCTGTCATCTACTTGTTGCCGCACCGACAGGCCTTTTTGTGTCAGTAAAAGGAATTATGCGAGAAATGTCAGTGGAAACCCTTACGCGTAAATATTGATATAACCACAACCACACTGAAGTAAATATTGATATAACCACCACCACCACACTGAAGTAAATATTGATATAACCACCACCACCACACTGAAGTAAATATTGATATAACCACCACCACCATACTGAAGTAAATATTGATATAACCACCACCACCACACTGAAGTAAATATTGATATAACCACCACACTGAAGTAAATATTGATATAACCACCACCACCACACTGAAGTAAATATTGATATAACCACCACACTGAATGTAGTAAAATATTGCATAACCAACCACCACCACACTAAAGTAAATATTGATATACCACACCACACTGAAGTAAAATATTGATAACCACCACCACCACTGAACGTAAATATTGATCCCCCCCACACTGAAGTAAATATTGATAACCACCCACCACCACACTGAAGTAACAATATGATATAACCACCACCACCATACTGAAGTCAATTATTGATATAACCACCACACTGAAGTAAATATTGATATAACCACCACCACCACACTGAAGTAAATATTGATATAACCACCACCACCACACTAAAGTAAATACTGATATAACCACCACACTAAAGTAAATATTGATACACACCCCCCCCCCCCACGCTGTGCTAGCAGGAGGTGGGGGCGACCGGTGTCATGAAGGAACCAATGGGATGCTCGAGGGGGGGCGTTCCTGCAGATGAAGAAATGCCCACATGCAGGAACGCCCCGAATTGTCATTGAGGTCGCTGTAATGTAAAAGTGTACAGCACATTCGTATTAAGGGGCAAAAAAGTACTTCCATTTCATTTCCTACAGACAACCTCAATGACAAACGAACGAAGTCCTGCGTTCACTAATTTTAACGCGCTCCAATTGGCTTTCATGGTTCTGATGTAGCGACCGGTAGACAGTGTCCTTGGCCCCGCCTGCGTTCATGAAGGAACCAATGGGATACTCGAGGGGGGTGTTCCTGCAGATGAAGAAATGCCCACATGCAGGAACGCCAATGAATTGCGGGGTGCAGTTGCACCCTATTGACCCACATTGCGATCAATCTATTCATGTTTCTGCTCAGATAGAGAGCATGGTACGCATGCAAAATTATATGTATTCAGATAAAGCTCTTTACATCTATACTGACATAGCTAATACTGTAATACTAATGCTGGAGGTCGCTGTAATGTAAAAGTGTACGGTACTTTCGTAATAAGGGGCAAAAAAAAGCACTTCCATTTAATTTCCTACAGACAACTTCAATGACAAACGAACGAAGTCCTGCAATCATTAATCTTAACGCGCTCCAATTGGCTTCATGGTTCGCTGGATAATCCTCCTGACTGACGTAGTTACTGTATCATTGGACCATTTCTATTTCAATCACCTAAAGTCACCAATAGGCGTTCTTCACGACCATTGCCCATGTAAACTATTGGCCTAGTAGCAGTGACAGGTGAATTCTATTGGTTAGCTATTACATGACGCTCCCGTCCTTCGACTCTCCCCAACCTCCCGGTTATCAGAACCACTCACTCTGTAGCTTCAATGAAACTAAATTACTTACTCTGTCCCGGCGGAAGACAAACATATGTCTTGAAGAACTCGCTCCGGAGAGCCCCGGCCTTGAGCCTGTTGGCCACGGGCTTGCTGAGCTGCCGTACACCGAGGTAGAGGAGCTTGGCGATGGGGAAGGCACCGACAGCCATCTTAACGGAAACACTTATTCTTCTTCGGTGGTATTTTAGGGCTAAGTACACCGGAAACCGTGTATTGCCGCCGCCTACTGGATGCGGGAACTAAAAGGGGGAAATCCAAAACGGAAAAGAGAAATAAGCTAAAATGTTTAATCCACTCAAACATCCGAAAACAAAATACGGACGGAACATTCGTTGACAGGATTCCTTGTAATGCCTCTGCTGTAAAATACCTGAGTCCCCCTCAAAAAATGTCAGCCACACTCACAACGATTGCCTATTTTCTCAGATTACCTCTTTAATTGCGCTGTGCAGTTTTGAACCAATGCAATAAACGATACAGAGTCCACCTTTTTAACACGTGATCATGTTGGCGATTAACATTTACTGAAGTCTTTAATCCAACTACCATGGTTTCTTCAAAGTTACTCCATTCTTCCACTCTTCTCACCGCCTCCAGATAGGAGACATTCTGGACAGCCCTTACTCTTGCCACCTCTGTCTCCTTCACCCTAACAGGGCACTTCAGGAATTTGGGCGCAAATGTTCGCCACCACAGCATTTCGCCTCAACTGGTATACAATACTCTAGCCCTTGATCATGACTCTCAGCCCCATTACATTACACATAAGAGTCATTGAACGAAAGGCATATTCTGTACGGGGGGGAGTTTTTTTTAAGAGCCCCAACACTTGGTCTGAACATTAACATGCATAGCTTTGCGGTCTCGTTTTGGAATCATAAGGATATTTTCTTTCATATCAGCGAGAGATAATTTTAAAAAAACAAAAGGTTGAATTGATACACGACTTTATAGGGCTAGGATTCCCACACGGCCACATTTCCATGTTATGGCGCTTGTTTATGGAAAACAGACAGAAGACACAAACATGTTGTCACTGAAAAATTCCTGAGCGACTGCAACTGTGTTAAAACTGGCTAAAACAGTGTGTATTTTGCGTTTGTGATATTATTTTGATGTGATATGATAGTAAAGGGATTTATGTTTCTAGAACCTTGCCGCAATTAAGAATCGATTCATGTTTAGATGGAGTATTTGGCACATCCAAATACTCCCATCTAAACATGAATCATTTCATAATTGGAGTAACGTTAGGCTCCTTTAGTCCAATATTGGACTAATGATACTCCTCCTGTCTACATACACTTGACACAGGTTCAAATATTTTAAATGTGTCACACTGCAAGGGTTTCGGCATGAAGGCTCGTACAGGGTATGTCACATAACCCAAATATACAATGTGAAGGGAGAGACTCTTCTTCAAAGATCAATAATAATGGATGGAATGGGCATCCTCACTCCATCCACCGTAGGGGTCAGTCGGCGTGCACCAACCACTCCATCCACCGTAGGGGTCAGTCGGCGTGCACCAACCACTCCATCCACCGTAGGGGTCAGTCTGCGTGCACCAACCACTCCATCCACCGTAGGGGTCAGTCGGCGTGCACCAACCACTCCATCCACCGTAAGGGGTCAGTCGGCGTGCACCAACCACTCATCCACCGTAAGGGGTCAGTCGGCTGCCCCAAACCACTCCATCCACCGTAGGGGTCAGTCGGCGTGCACCAACCACTCCATCCACCGTAAGGGGTCAGTCGGCGTGGCACCAACCACTCCATCCACCGTAGGGGTCAGTCGGCGTGCACCAACCACTCCATCCACCGTAGGGGTCAGTCGGCGTGCACCAACCACTCCATCCACCGTAGGGGTCAGTCGGCGTGCACCAACCACTCCATCCACCGTAGGGGTCAGTCGGCGTGCACCAAACCACTCATCCAACCGTAGGGTCAGTCGGCTGCACCAACCACTCCATCCACCGTAAGGGGGTCAGTCGGCGTGCCAACCAACCAACTCCAATCCACCATACGGGTCAGTCGGCGTGCACCAACCACTCCATCCACCGTAGTGGTCAGTCGGCGTGCACCAACCACTCCATCCACCGTAGGGGTCAGTCGGCGTGCACCAACCACTCCATCCACCGTAGGGGTCAGTCGGCGTGCACCAACCACTCCATCCACCGTAGGGGTCAGTCGGCGTGCACCAACCACTCCATCCACCGTAGGGGTCAGTCGGCGTGCACCAACCACTCCATCCACCGTAGGGGTCAGTCGGCGTGCACCAACCACTCCATCCACCGTAGGGGTCAGTCGGCGGCACCAACCACTCCATCCACCATACGGGTCATTCGGCGTGCACCAACCACTCCATCCACCATACGGGTCAGTCGTCGTGCACCAACCACTCCATCCACCATAGGGGTCAGTCGGCGTGCACCAACCACTCCATCCACCATAGGGGTCAGTCGGCGTGCACCAACCACTCCATCCACCATACGGGTCAGTCGGCGTGCACCAACCACTCCATCCACCATACGGGTCAGTCGGCGTGCACCAACCACTCCATCCACCATAGGGGTCAGTCGGCGTGCACCAACCACTGCCTCTACTTCTTCAGTTACATACTCTGCTCTCACTCCTAGCGATACTCCAGAGATAACCCCCTTGATAGGCACCCTGCTTCACAGATCCACACACGACACATTCCAATCCAATATCTTTTTCAGGTGCAAAGCCCACTTCTTCTGCTCCTCGGACACACACAAAAACAAAATAAGCCCTCTTCTTCTTCTTCTTCTTCTTCTTCTTCTTCTTCCTCACTGACGCAACCTCATCCAACGCATCTGCGATCTTCATCTAGACGTCAAACGGATCTCCCAGGTAACTCCAGTGGTGGAAAAAGTACACATAAAAGTGAAAGTCACAGTGTAAAATACTACTTGAGTAAAAGTCTAAAAATATTTGGGTTTAAATATACTTCAGTATCAAAAATAAATGTAATTGCTAAAAAAGTAAAATTATAAATCATTTACAATTCCTTATATTAAGCAAACCAGACGGCACCATTTTCTTGTTTTTTAAATTTACGGATAGTCAGAGGCACACTCCCAACACTCAGACATAATTTAAAAATGAAGCATTTGTGTTTAGTGAGTCTGCCAGATCAGAGGCAGTAGGGATGAGCAGGGATGTTCTCTTTATAAGTGTCAAGGGGTGCTGAAGGTGGGTGTGGTGCATGAATCAGGCGCAGGACGCAGAGGCTCAGTCCAAAAGACTTTAGTGTAATATTACGTAGATAAATAAGCACAATAAGCCCGAAGGCGAAAACACGGCGCACACAGGCGTCAACTAAACGGTGCACAAACATGTGCAGAAAACCCTCTCCAAAACACTGGAGGGAAATACTAAGCTCCAACACGAGAACAGAAGAGCAATCACACACAAAGACAAACACAACCAACGAGAACTAAATAGGACACTAACGAGGACTAACAAGACACAGGTGTACAACATCAAGACAAAACCAAACGAACATGAAACATAGATCGGTGGCAGCTAGTACTCCGGGGACGACGATCGCCGAAGCCTGCCCGAACCAGGAGGAGGAGCAGCCTCGGCCGAAACCGTGACAATAAGTGCGGGAATTGGTCCATTTTCCTGTCCTGCTAAGAATTCAAAATGTAATGAGTACTTTTTGAGTGTCAGGGAAAATTTATGAAATAAAAAGTACATTATTTTCTTTAGGAATGTTGTGAAAGGGGCATCCCGAGTGGCGCAGCAGTCTAAGGCACTGCATCGCAGTGCTAGGGGCATCACTACAGACCCAGGTTCGATCCCAGGCTGTGTCGCAGCCGGCCGCGACCGGGAGACCCATGAGGCAGAGCACAATCGGCCCAGTGTCGTCCGGGTTAGGGGAGGGTTTGGCCGGCCGGGATGTCCTTGTCCTGTTGCGCTCTACCGACTCCATGTGGCGGGTATTTGACCCCTCTGCAAAACATGACTTAGTACTTGGTGGCAAAACACTTGTTGGCAATCACAGAGGTCATACGTTTCTTGTAGTTGGCCACCAGGTTTGCATTAATCTCAGGAGGGATTTTGTCCCACTCCTCTTTGCAGATCTTCTCCAAGTCATTAAGGTTGAGGCTGACGTTTGGCAACTCGAACCTTCAGCTCTCTCCACAGATTTTCTATGGGATTAAGGTCTGGAGACTGGCTAGGCCACTCCAGGACCTTAATGTGCTTCTTCTTGAGCCACTCCTTTGTTGCCTTGGCCGTGTGTTTTGGGTCATTGTCAAGCTGGAATACACATCCACGACCCATTTTCAATGCCTTGGCTGAGGGAAGGAGGTTCTCACCCAAGATTTGACAGTACATGGCCCTGTCCATCGTCCCTTTGATGCGGTGAAGTTGTCCTGTCCCCTTAGCAGAAAAACACCCTCAAAGCATAATGTTTCCACCTCCATGTTTGATGGTGGGGATGGTGTTCTTGGGTCATAGGCAGCATTCCTCCTCCTCCAAACACGGCGAGTTGAGTTGATGCCAAAGAGCTTCATTTTGGTCTCATCTGACCACAACACTTTCACCCAGTTCTCCTCTGAATCATTCAGATGTTCATTGGCAAACTTCAGACGGCCCTGTATATGTGCTTTCTTGAGCAGGGGGACCTTGCGGGCGCTGCAGGATTTCAGTCCTTCACGGCGTAGTGTGTTACCAATTGTTTTCTTGGTGACTATGGTCCCAGCTGCCTTGAGATCATTGACAAGATCCTCCCGTGTAGTTCTGGGCTGATTCCTCACCGTTCTCATGATCATTGCAACTCCACGAGGTGAGATCTTGCATGGAGCCCCATGCCGAGGGAGATTGACAGGTCTTTTGTGTTTCTTCCATTTGCGAATAATCGCACCAACTGTTGTCACCTTCTCACCAAGCTGCTTGGCGATGGTGTTGTAGCCCATTCCAGCCTTGTGTAGGTCTACAATCTTGTCCCTGACATCCTTGGAGAGCTCTTTGGTCTTGGCCATGGTGGAGAGTTTGGAATCTGATTGGTTGATTGCGTCTGTGGACAGGTGTCTTTTATACAGGTAACAAACTGAGATTAGGAGCACTCCCTTTAAGAGTGTGCTCCTAATCTCAACTCGTTACCTGTATAAAAGACACCTGGGAGC